CCAGAGGATATACACTGGTACAGATAGGAACTGGATACACAGGCAATCCAGGATGAATGATCCCTTCAGGACCAGTGGTGTGAATGGCGATACTGGGAGGGTAGAGGGAGAGTGGGTTGGAAAGAGGGAACTGATTATAAGGATCTATATGTGACCTCCTCCCTGGGGGACGGACAACAGAAAAGTGGGTGAAGGGAGATGTCGTACAAGGCAAGCTATGACAAAATAATAATTTATAAATTATCAAGGGCTCATGAGGGAAGTGGGAGGGGGGAGGGAGGGGAAAAATGAGGACCTGATGCCAGGGGCTTAAGTGGAGAGAAAATGTTTTGAGAATGACGAGGGCAATGAATGTACAAATGTGCTTTACACATTGATGTATGTATGGATTGTGACAAGAGTTGTATGAGCCCTTAATAAAATGATAAAAGAAAGAAAGAAAGAAAGAAAAAGAAAATACTAAAAAAACCAACAAAACACTTAGCTCCACTCATACCCACCCTATAGGATGAGGTAGAGCTGCCCTTGTGGGTTTCAGAGACTGTAACACTTGATGCAAGCAGGAAGCCTCCTCTTTCTCCCATGGAGCAGCTGGTGGTTTGGAACTGCTGACCTTGCACTTAGCCAAGAGTGGGAATCGACTCCGTGGCAGTGCATTCGAATGATGGGCTTAAAAAACAAGGCAAACCAAACCAACCACCATTACATTCCCTCAGAAGCTAACACCTCTCAAACGTTCGTGTTTGTGTGTGTGAAGACTATGCAATACGGGACGATTCCCAAAAGTGCGCGACAGAGCAGAGACAGACCTGCCCTCACTTCCTAGTTCCCAGGTGAGGAGCTGGGCTCTTTTCAGCGGCTTCCACTGTAACTCACATCTAGCTTTCCTCAGCCCAAGACGGAGTCAGAAACTTTGAAACAATATTTTTATTAGGCGGAATGTGCTCCATTGAATGGAATGTTTTTAAAAGCACATAGAAGTGGGTTAATGAAGGTCCAATACAAACTATGCAGATGAAGTGAGAATACATTATTCCTCTAGGAAGTTGGTCTGCAGTCTCAATTCATACCTCCCACGGCGTAAAAAAATAGCCGTAACTGAACAGGTCCTTAATGATTAGGGTTTTTAAGTCTTAAAAATGACAACCAAAGTAGTGGGAAAAAAAAAAAGAAGAAGAAAAGAAAATTCCCCTTTTGGAATATGCTGTCAAAATATCTCACTGAAGCATTATGCTGTTGAACAAATATTGCATTGGGGAGTGAAGACTTGGGTTCGGGTCTTGGGTCATGTGAAAGTTAAGTTTATTGTGACAAGCTGGCCCATAGGAACATGTGTGATTACTGAGGTTGCAGTTTGATTGGAGGGCAAAGAGATAAATGGCTCTGCAAGGCCCGCTCCCCTCTCTCTTGCTCTCTGGTGATCAGAGCGCGCTATTGCTTTAGCTCATTCTGTGCCTCAACCTGTGAGCCACACCACCTGTGGGCAAGCCAACCTGTGGATCATGTCACTCGAGCTTGAGGCTCCTTCGAGACCTGCTTCGCCACTCTGCTGGTGCACACATCCCTTCAGCTTGAGGCTAGTGGATCCTGTCGCCTTGCATTGATTGTGTCCAATAGCCCATCTGGGCCTGCTTCACTAAGCTCCAGAGCTACTGACTGTTTGCTGCCTGTGGGCAGACTGCTTGCCTTGCCCGAGGGAGGACTCCACTGTCTGCCTCCTTGACCTTGGACCCGACAGCCCACGTGAGTTGAAGCATTTCTAGTATATTAACTGTTTTACAAGTTGAACTGAGCCCTCTGTACTGCTATGTGGACTAATTAGCTGTTATATTCCTTCTCATTGTATAAGCCTATATATATATGTGTGTGTGTGTGTGTATACATATACATACATGTATATATGTATATATACATATACATACATGCATATATGTATATACACACATACACACATGCATATACATACATATACATATATGTATATACACATATATACATACATGCATGTATATATGTGTATATGTATATATACATATATATACATATATATACATATATATATAAATCATGTATCCTGGTTTTGTTTCTCCAGAGAACCCTGCCTAACACAGGTCTTGTATTAATGGTGTTCTGGGTAGGGGAACATGCAAAAGGAGGAGGGTCCTTGACAAGAGGGACTGACACAGTGGCTGCAACCACGGGCTCAAACATGAGAGCGATTGTGAGGATGGCGCAGGACTGGGTGGTGTTCTGTTCTGTTCTATATAGGGTTGCTGTGGGTTGGGTCTGCCTAGACGGCACCTAACAACACAACCCTTGATAGAACCTTCACCTTCACCGTCTCTCAGGTTTCTCAAGTCTACTCATGGAGGTTTTTTTTTTTTAAACAGTCTTTCAGTACAAATTGATTATTTTTTGTAAATATATCCCTAGTCTTTAGTGATAACATTTTCCATATGTTAGTAAAAGCATTTTCCATAGCCGGGCTTTCAGGTGTCGATGTACCCACAAATCTAAAACCCCAGGCCAATGTCCTTTTTGAGCCTTCCCGAGTCCTCTGGTCACAGCTGTCAGTCCTGCACGATCAAATGGTGTTTTGGATCATGCAGTTTCATCCGCCAGCTACCTGAATTTGATCTTGTTTTCTTTGGTGCTGGCGTTTTTTATTGCTACTGGTTCTGTTAAATGACCTGCTATTTTAGCTACAGTGTTATAGTAATTAGGATTATTGAACCTCTATGAGTTTTCTAAAAACTTGTTATGACGAAGGTTTACAGAGCACACATTCAACAATGCATGGACCCTCTTGTTGTCTGGGCCTGCATCCCTCATTTGGGGCTCAGCTCCTGCATGTTGGAGAGGGTCTCCCCCTTCCCCCAGGTGAAGGAACACCTGTCTGCCCTCTGGCCAGTTCCAAGCACGGATTTACCATGTGAGATCGACCCTCAGGTGATGTCATCCTGAACAGTCCTGCTCTCCACATGTGCATGCGTGTGTGCGCACGCACAGAAAACACACACCGTGTTATGTTTTTAAAACCAAGCGAGGAAACAAAACGGAAGTTTCATCTCTGTGCTGGTGGTCTGGCTTCGGCTACTAGGCAGGTGCCTGCCCATCAGCAGGGGGCCTGGGCTCTTGGCTCCTTCCCAGCAGTGGAATGGGTGCACAGTGGGTGTGGCAGACCCAGGCCCTGTCAGATGCTGGAGGCAGCAGTTCAGGCTCCTCCATCTGGGTGTGCATCCTGCTGTCTCAGTGCAGGCCACAGGGGGTTGGGGCTTGCACCCAGAGGAAGGATGCCTAACTCTGCTGTCCGTCTTTCCCAACGACTCCCCTGCCTGTAGAAACTTTGGGGCCTTAACTACCATCCCTGTGGAGCTGAGGGTCTCAGCAAAACCCCCAACAGTGCAGCTCTGGGTGCTGCGGCCAGGGATGCTGGCCTGGAAGTTGGTGACTCAACTTCCAGCTGTTCTGCAGTGACTTCGTGGAGGTAGCCAGCGGCATGTCCCACCTCCGATCTGAATCTCCAGGGAGATTCATGGGAAGCTGTGGTAGGTAGGTTTATTTTGCCAACCTAGCCAATAAGAACATGTAGGATTAAGCAGGGCAAAGAGATAAATGGCTCGGCGAGCCCTGCCTCTCTCTCTCTCTGGCTCTCTGGTGATCAGACCAGTGTGTGGCTGCCTTAGCTAGTTTTCTGCCTCAATTTTCAAGCTACACTAACCGTGGGACACCCAACCCGTGGACCATGTTGACAGAGCGTGAGGTTCCTTTGAGATCTGCTTTACCACACTGCTGGTGTATACATCGTTCGAACTGGGGACTGTCAGATCCTGTCATCTGGCTGACTGTTGGTGACCCACCTGCTGTTTGCTGCCTGTGGCTGGACTGCCTGCATTGCTCTACAGAAGACTCAGCTATCTGCTTCCTTGACCTTGGACCCAGCAGCTCTGGTGAGTTGAAGGACTTCCAGTATATTAACTGTTTCACGGAAGTGAGTTGGACTGAGTCCTCTGTACTTCTGTGTGGACTAATTATCTGTTATATTCCTTTGTGTTCTATCTATCTATCTATCTATCTACCTACCTATGTAAAATCTTAAGTGTCCTGGTTTTGTTTCTCTAGAGAACCCTGTCTAACACAGAAGCCCATGCCTGTGTGAACAGAGTGGGGTAAGGTCTGAGATGGACGTTCCCCAAATGCATCTGGTCTCCTTCACAACAACAGACTTGGAGGGGCCCTCAGAAAGACTGCTTCTTCTCTGGGCCCTGAAACTTGGCACCAACAACGGACAGAATGAACATCAACACAGGGGAGCGAGACTGAGTAAAAAGTCTGGAACTGGGTCCCCCGAGCAACCTTTACACTGAAGGACTTCCTGAACTCAGTTCAGGCGGGGAAGGGGGCCTCTGTGGAGGGCCACCAGGACTGATTGTCCTGAGGGAAGGCTCCCCCAGAGCGGGGAGGCTCCCACCTTCTGGCATGTTCCAGGACTTACCAGGTAACGCTCCTCCTGTCTCATGCTGGGGGTGCGGATCATGTGGTTCTGTTCTCCTCTCCAGTCTCCAAACCGACGGAAAAAATAGTTGGATAGGAACCGGTTGACAGGGTCCCTGATGATGTTGATGTAGACAGGCTGATCTCCTCCAAACCTAACACACACACAGACAGGACGTTGTTACCACCTGTCAATACTGGAGGAAGGGAAAGCCCAGGGAGCCAATACACGCCATGCCTTTGATGCTCAGGTAGCAATGAGCAATTTAATAAGCAAGTCAACATGCAGAAAATGGGGGTGATCATTCCTGCCCCAGGTTCCTGTGAGAAGCTGGGGCATATCCACAAAGTACTATACGCGTGGTGATGCTTGTCCACGTGGGGCTGTCTGTCGATTTATGTCTTGTTTCCTTACAATACTGTAGGGTTCCTGAGGGCAAGGGCCACCAGGTGTCTGTCTCGGTGCCCCCAATGTGCAGCGTAGGAGGAAGGCCCACAATGGAATGCTTCAATTGATGGGAAACTATGGTGAAATGGTGTTGATTCTCATTCAGACTGTCCTAGACATAGCATTCTGTATGCATTCTTGGATACATTGTAGCCGAGAACTCTTTAGAGCAGTGGTTCTCAACCTTCCTCATGCCTCGACCCTTTCATAGAGGTCCTCATGTGGTGGTGACCCCCCAATCATAAAATCATTTTTGTTGCTACTTCATCACTGTCATTTTGCTACTGCTATGAATCGGCATGTAAATATCTGATAGGCAGAATGTATTTTCATTGTTACAAATTGAACATAATTAAAGCATAGTGATGAATCACAAAAACAATATGTAATCATATATTGTGAACTATTTATTTCTAATGAGAAATAAATGAAATTTTGTCTTGAAGCATGGTGTTGCATGGGTAACAGTGTTAATATAACAACAGTAAACTACATGGCAACATTTTGAGACAGTATGCATAAAAAGCCAACATCAGTGCAAAGGTTGAGATAGCTTCTTTCTCACCAGATCAGCATATCTGCAGGTGGGCGGACCTGCCTGGAGTCAGATAGAGGAGCGGTGTCTCAGTTCCTAAGACAATCAGAAATATGTGTTTTCCGATTGTTTTAGGTGACCCCTGTGAAAGGGTCGTTCGACCCCCAAAGGGGTCATGAACCACAGGTTGAGAAGCGCTGCTTTAGCGTATTGAGAAACAAGGGTGTTACTCTGAGGACTGGCTCAGGCCACCCAGGCCATGGTTTTCTCCGGGACATCATCTGCACGTGGGAGATGGACCTTGGATAAGGAAGACCGAAGAAGCCTCCATGCATTTGAGTGGCGGTGTGGCAGAAGAATACGCAAGCACCGCGGACGGCTGAAAGGACAAACAGATCTGTTTCGGAAGTCGTAAAGCCAGGGTGCTCCTTAGAAGCAAGGGTGGAAAAGCTTTGTCTTACATACTTAGGACATGTTGTGAAGAGAGACTAGTCGGTCCCTGGAGAAGGTCCTCGTGTTTGGTAAAGGGCAGGGGCAGCAGAAAAGAGGAAGTCCCTGGACGAGGTGGACGGCACAGTGGCTGCCGCGATGGGCTCAAACCTGAGAGACTGTGAGGACTGAGCAGGACCGTGGCATGTCTCCTTCTGTTGTTCAGAGGGATTGCACCTCGCATACTGGGGAAACTGAGGCAGGGGATGGCTCGGTAACTGTGGCTGAGTCATGGTTTTAAACCAAGCAGTCTGGCTCCAGCATCTGTGTCCTACACCACAGAGAGAAGATTCCAGAGATGGGAAACAGACAATCACCTGGCGTGAGGAACGCAATGGACTAAAAGCCCATGAGCTGGTCCTCAGGGATCCAGCAGCTCCGTTTTTGGCCACTGCACCAAGGGCTTCGACAACTGCGTTGCATGCCCGCCCAGGAGCGAGTCTTCCCAAGGCGAAACGAATAGGCTGGGGAGCTTCCCCTAAGGACGCTTTCTTTTCTCTTTGTGCAGCTCAAAAACAAAGGAGCCCGGGAGAACACTTCAGGTTCTGGGCAGAGGTCTTAGCCCTATAACCTCCAGAGAGACACCTATAGGAGGTCCCTGTAGCCCTGTGACCGGTGACCTTCTGATGAGACTGCTGAGACATTCCACTGGCGTCAGAAAAAGCACAGAGGCAACAGACTGGCAGGACCCCATGCCCACCTCTCTCCACCTCACAGAGACTGCTCACCTTTCGAAAGCCAGCTCCGAGTCCCAGCCACATCATCCAGGAATGCAGGCCTCCAGGCTGGCGTCCCCTCCCCTGTATTCCGACCTCTGCCCTCTGACCTGTGTTGACAATTCTGTCACACCCATCAGCCTGGAAGCCTCTGGGAAGCCAAGGATAAGGTGACCAGATTTAAAGCAGGACACCATTACCAGAGGGGACGAGGGGATTCTTGATTAAAATTTTGGTCTATATGGACCAAATAGACCATTCCCTAGCTTGTCGTGCATTCTTTCCAAAAATAGGGACTTTTTTAAAACACCAAAAATTGGGAATGTCCCGCCAAAAGCGGGACGTCTGGCCACTTTAGCCAAGGACCATGCCAGAGGGCACAGTGCCTGGCCCCCAGGAAGTGCTTAGGGGAGGACTGAAAGCCTGGGAGCACGCAGGCACATTTTCAAGTCTCTGCCAACAGCACTGTGGGGTCCTGGTGGCAGGGGGGTTATGCTGCAAGTCGCACAGGCTGCACTTCCAAAGCACCAGCAGCTCCTCGGGAGAAAGGCTGGGCTTTCTACTCCTATCAACAGGTAGGGTCTCAGAAACACCCCGGGGGTCGCTGGGAGTCAGCCTTGGCTTGATGGCAGTGAGTTTCATTTCGTTTTTTGAGAGTCAACACCCCTGGGATCCCGAGTCAGCTCCCAGCCCTTTGTTGGTGGGGGTTCATTCTGAGGATGCTGCTCTCCCGTTGAGGTGCAGATCTGCTCAGAAGAACCCAGAGGAAAGGAAATGGGATGACATCCCTATCTTCCCAAACCCCACCCCACTGGAAAATTCCATGCTCGTGAATCAAGTTCCCCTGGCCAATCTGAATTTTATCAGGTCCCAGATGTAGCACAAGGTGACATTCACACAACTGGCTGGGCCACTAACTGTAAATCCTAAGAGTCAGGGATGCTGCATCCTGACTAGATTGGCTTCTTTTAATTAAATTGGGTTTTGCGTGTAGGATAAAGAGCCACGAAAGTAATACTGCCAGGTCTTGGGAAGATGAAGCATGCATACCAAATGTGTATGCAAAGGAGCCCTCAGAAATTGCAAAATGCTTTTAGAAACCATGACCCCGAGTCTGTATGATCGTGTGAGGAATAGTTACTCGTGACAATTAGCAGGGCAGCCCAGCCATAGAAACCAATGCACCACTAGGAATGACCCCCAGCTGGCCGCAGCCCTCTCCTAGCAGAACACAATGGATGTGTGGATCTGATCAGGCTCACTGAGCCTGCATGACGTACCCCTGCTAGTCCATTACCACCCACATGCGTTCCAGCATGAATTTCCAATTATTGTAGATGGTTTTCGATGGCAGAAGAATTCATTGCCAAGTATCAGACAATGTAACAGCCTCTCTGAAGGAATTTCTCACAGGAGCGAGGTGTCTGCTATACGCTATCTCCTCTTTCCAGAAGGCAAGCCTAAACAGACCGCACTGGGCTGCAGAGTCTCCCCACCCCCCACCCCCCCTTGTACTCACAGCTCTCTCTCAAAAGGACAAAATTTGAGTGGCATCTCCACTACACAAGAGGGTGTCAGGATAGCACCTGCAGGTCCCTAGTGCCTGAGCAGTGCAACAGATACCCCCATCCTCATCGCACCTTCTCCCAGGGCCCCTCAGGATCTTTGGACTCTGGTCAGAATTCCTGTCCACCCTGACAGCCCAGAACCTTCTGCCTGTGGCTGACTCCACTCTCGGAGTCAGACTGCTTTGTGCCCCACCCCCTCTCACAAGCACCGCATTCTGCCTTCGCTTGATAAACCTTGAGAGAAGATCCCCCAGCCTCCGGATGTGAACCCAACCAGCAAAGTATCCTAGATCCATATACAATTCCTCAGCTTGAGTCATGCCCATTCTCCTTTGGCTGATCTTTTTCACTCAAAGCCGGGCTTTGCCCTCATCTATCTTGTACAGCAGGTAGCCCTTTCAGCTGCGATTTTAGCTCCCTTTGCTTTTCGTCCTTTCTTGATTATGCCCATGTCTCTAAACATTTCCTCTAACTTTCCCCTTGAGACATCCGTCCTTTCAGTCTGTGATATATGGTCTTATTTGGTCTTCATCGTGTGTGTGTGTGTGTGTGTGTGTGTGTGTGTGTGTGTGTGTGTGTGTGTGAAAGAGAGAGAGAGAGACAGAGAGAGAGAGGGAAATGTGATCCCAGCTGACGGAAGATTCTAAGCTGAGCCTACAGGGATGAGGAGAAGGTCAAGGTCATGCTTTGTTTCCTACAGTCTGGGTCTTTCAGTCACTATAATAATGGTTAGGTTCTAGAACAGCAGTTCTCAATCTGTGGGTCATGACCCCTTTGGGGGTCGAACAACCCTTTCACAGGGGTCACCTGATTCATAACAGTAACAAAATTACAGTGATGAAGTAGCAACGAAAATAAATTTATGGTTGGGGGTAACCACAACATGAGGCACTATATTAAAGAGTCGCGGCATTAGAAAGGTTGAGAACCACCGTTCAAGAAGCTCTCTTTGAAGTCACCCTAAACCAGTGGGTTTTAGACCAGTTTCTTTGACACGTGCCTCAGGCCATATTTACCAACTCTTCAATCAGCCCTATAGGTGATCCTAATTCATCGTTGTCTTTTTAATGTTTTATTTTCTACAACAAGGAGAAAACCCCAAACTTCATGGTCCTCAGTTTTTCAAAACATTCCCACATGCATCATTCTGTGCATTTTCTTCCACATCTACCCCTCCCAGCTCCCTCCACCCCCCAACAATCATAGCTTCAGCATCTGCCCACCCAGCTCCCTCCACCCCTCAGTCCATCCACAATCACAGTCACTTCTGCTACAGCTACTCAGAATTCTAAGAATTCTAAGTATGTTTTCATCAGAATGCCGAAGACATTCTTTCTCAAATATGATCACCTATGTAAATAACAAGATTTATGACCCCAGTTCTTCTGAAAAATCATGA